GCAAAGATAAGGGACAGCAATGACGGCTATCATCGTGACAAGAGGACAGCAGGACTGCCCCAGACAGGGGTTCGAGAGCCCGCACCACCGGCCCCGTCCCTGGTCCCTGCAGAGGGAAACCCCAGGTAGAGCGGCGGCCTCCAGCTGCCATGTCACGTGAGCGCCCTTCCTAGACAGGGGCCCTGGAGGTAGGGCGTCGCCTTAAGTCACGGAATTATTAGGCCGAGGGAGACAAACAGCCTCAGCACGTGTAGAGGTGTAGAGACCCTTGTCAGATCCTGCATCCAGGCCACAACACGACCCTTAGCAAACCTTGAGCACCAGGCTGCGCGTGGCAATTTCCCCAGAAAGCGGTGGTTCCTTTCACAAGCTCGCCACGGAAACCATGCAGAATTAGGTTGGCTGCTTAGGAAAAATGCAGGGCCACCCCATGGGGGTCCTTCCAAACCCATTGCAAGTGAAATCCATCTTCCCTCCTGAGCAGGCCGTGGCTCCCCGGTCGGCGTGTGAGAGCCCTGTCACGAAGGGCAGGCCCCTGGACCCCCACTCCCGGCCGCAGATTAGGTCCCGATCTTTATCAGATGCAGAGGCTAAGGGCGGCAGAGCTTGTTAAGTCTGAGCTAGCCTCTGCATTTGGGTGGCTCTCTTCAGTCTAGTCCTGCCATTTCCGCCCTCTCCCATCTCACGGCACGTATGACCTAATTCCTACAATTCTGCGGCACACCAACGAATATATTTTTTTGCCAATCTGACCAAAAAAATAGGTATGACTTTGATTCATTCACACCAGATGGCTATTGTTGTATTTGCTGTTGTCATTTTTTTTATTTGACAATCAATGGGAAAAGAGGTCACCGACCCAGACTAAATTGTCAGGTATGCATGTTTTAAAAATTCTTACAGCGCCCTGGCTGGTGTAGCTCAGTGGACTGAGTGCCAGCCTGTGAACTGAAAGGTCTCCAGCTTGACTCCCAGTCAAGGCACATGCCTGGGCTGTGGGCCAGGTCCCCAGCTGAGGGCATGCAAGAGGCAGCCACACATTGACATTTCTCTCCCTCTCTTCCCCTCTCTCTAAAAATAAGTAAAAGCTAGAAAAAAAAGTACACAAAGCCGAACGATCCAATGAATAATCACAAAGCAAACACCCACGTCACCACCGTCCAGGTGAAGGTCTGGGGTATCGCTGGCACCCCAGAAGCCCCCTGCCTCTTCCCATCCTCTCGGAAGTAACCTCTCTCCTGAGTCGCGGTGGCCGTGTCCCATGGTAATCACTTAGCCCAGAACTGTGCGTTCCTAAACATGCTGTGATTGTGCGTTTCATTTACCTTTTTCTTACGTGATAAAGAGTAAGACTCCTGACTTCTTCTCTATCCCTGGCACCTAGACTATGCCAGACCTAGAGGAGTGCTCAGTAATATAACTGAACGAATGAACGAACCAATGGGTGGAAAAATAATAAGCTGTACAAATGCTGACTTGAACAAAAGCTGTTCTGTAGCGCCTTTAACGCGCTAACATGAAACGTGAATTTCTGAGTATGTTTTATGTATTCAAGTTCCTGGGAACACTTTTTGGGGATGATTGATGTCAAGAGTTGGCACTTTTAAGGAATTATATTTGTATCCACATATATCATTTTTTTTGTATTCTTTAAAATTTCTTTTACTAGTTCTGCTTCATCCTTTAGGACTTGGCTCCTGCTAAGTAATCTGATCAATGAATTTGTACTGGTATATAAATGTATAGTGCTGCCTTAGGACTTTTTACTCTTCCCCTTTTATTTATTTATTCTATTAAAACCCCATTGTTACTAGAAGTACAAAATACAAAAAAAAATGACAATGGGAAGCTGGTGAAAGTTATGTCCCCAAAGTGTCTATTCGTGCCCTGTCTGTACAAGTTTTGATTGTTGACTAGATTCGACATGACAGAATCAGGTGCTAATAGACCATTTTTTCATAGTCCTTGGTAATAATATTTTTTAAGTGGCTTTTAAAAATTCTTCCTGGCGACCAGATGCATTTGTGCTATATAACGTCACGTTATTCCTCTTTGACACATTAAAATTGGTGAAGGTTACACATTTCTTTTTAGACACTAAAGCCCCTGGTTTCTTTCTGTCCATTGAAATAACGTCCATCATTGTTCACTGCTACTTCCTATTTCACTGGGGGATTAGGTGCCAGACACTGGATAAAAAGGTTGTCAAGGTTTAGTTTTAGGTTTTGTTAGAGCTGGTCTATTTCGGCTTTGTCCTGATAACTAGGGCACCGCCCCTCCTGGCCTCCCTACCTTGGGTGGAATGTGAACTCCAGCTTCCGAGTTCCCATTCCTCGGTACGTAGCTCCTCTCACACAATAAATTGGTCCCGTGTCATTCACTCCCTGTGGTAACTCTTCTTTAGCCGCGTACATAATTACTGGGATTTGGGAGGCTGTGAACTCCCTTTGAATCTTATGTCATGTGCTCTGTAGTCAGCTCCAACTGCTGCTTGTGGAAACAGAGTTCTAATTACAAGTTCAGAGCCCTCTGTATTATAGATTGTGATGCAGGGAAAACCACAAAGAAGGCTGGGTGCTTCTCCTCCTCGTCAGCTACTCTTCACAGGCCCCCCACATCCAGATAAACTTTTCTGTCCATTGAATTTACTCCCTATAGCGGGCCACCTCCTGAGTATACAGGTTAATCCTTAAATACATTTTAAATCCATCATGAACCTAGTCGTTTAGTCATATAAATTACTGTCATAGGATCTATTCACAGCCAAGATTTTACAGGCGGATGCATTGATAAATGTGTTTTTATTTGCTGTGAATAATTTCTGCAGAGTGATACTGAAAAAGATGGAATCCACCTTTTCCATTAAGAAGGAGGCAGCTGCCGTGAGCACGGACAGGTCCATTATCCTGTGATCCCGGCAGGAGCATTCGGGGATGGGTTTGGGGGAAATTCAGCTCGTCTAGAGCAAAACCTATCGTTTGAACGTGAACAGTTAGACAACGCCTTTCTGCAGCCTGAAATGCAAACACGAGAGAACCGAATTCTCCACCCACGGCTGTCCCTGCGGAGGTCCAGAGGCAAAGGGCCAACCGCTGGTGGGTTTCCCCGGGCGGGGGAGGGGGCTTGGCTGCCGGGGCTGCCCCGAGAGCCCATCATCAGATTCTGCCGGGGCCAGGCTCAAGGTTTCTCAGGCAGCGGGCCCCACGGCGCCCTCGGCCTTTGCGCTGCGCCTCATGTACACAGAGGTCCGCGGGTCTGGAAGGAGTGTCGGGGAAGAGGGCGGCCGTCCCTCCTCTCAAGATAACGGGGGTGCCAAGGGCTGAGCTAAATAAAGGCAGACCTGGGCCTGACAGCATTGACTGATTGATATGTTTATGGATTTTTAGAGAGAGAGAGAGGAACGTGGATGGGTTGCCTCCTGCACGCGTGCAACTGGGGATCAAACCTGCAACCTTTTGTGTACAGGGTGACACTCCGTCTAACTGAGCCACCTGGCCAGGGCAGCATTTGACTTCTGACAACCTATACGAGACAGAGGGTGGCCACCACTGGTCGGCTCCCAGCTCTCAGGGTCCTCGCCGGCCAGGGAGGCCCCCTTTTGTCCCAGGCTTTCCCATCACTGACTGACATTCTGTTTTCTAGAGCCTGTTGTTGTCGGATTCTTCCTTGGTCCCCGTAAACCCAGCCCCAGCCCCCCATCAAAGCTCCTGGGACAGGCTCTTTTTAAAGCCACCCAAGTTCCCAGCCACCAGGGCCATCCACCGGCCAGCTCCTGCTCCTTCCCCGGCTCCTCCCTCTGCATGAGGGATCCCAGGGCTCAGCGCCTTGGAGCTGACGGTTCAGAGCTTAGAGGAGCATGGTCAGGGTACGCTTCCAACCCTATCGTGAACTCTGGAGGCCTTCGGGGTGGCCGAGAAACCTACAATCTTTCAAAGCCTTGGGAAATTTCTGGAGGAAGTTTCTTTGGTTGTCGCAGCCCCGTCCTTGGATTTTGCCTTGTTTCAGAAAATTTAGAAGCAGCAGACCTGGCCTGTAACTCCTCTGTAGGTCAGGGCCGGTCTGACTCTAATGGTAGAAACAAACAGCTCCGGCTTACGAGCCCGTAGGCATGCAAAATCAGAGATGTAAAAGGGAGCTGTGCCAATAAGAGACGGACCAGTGTGACTTAGATGGGATTGGCTGGATGGGGTTTAGAGTGGCAGTGGGCAGAGGGAGCAGGACCCCACCGTGGCAGCACAGCGTGGGGTGGCCTGTATGGTCAGCTGGGCGGAGACAGTTACAAGGGGGCGGTTAAAACGGAATCGTTTTGTTTTTTCTTCTGATCATTGGGTCGCACGGCCCCCAACCGCCGCCGCCCTCCGGCTGGCTCCCGGCCTCCCCTGCCCCCTCCTGCCCACCTGCATCCTGCCCCTGCCCCACTGCGGGCGGCAGTAGGTTGCGTGCCCGGAGCCCTGGTGAGATTGGCAGGGGCGGTGCGCTGCTCTGTTCGTTATCTTCCCCAAAACAGATAAGGCGGATGGGAAATGCTAATAGCCGAGGCTCAGCCCCTGCTGTTCTGCCAAGCACCTTTTCTTATCGGCCCAGGCCCTCACCCCACAGGCGGTACCTGGGGGTGGGAGGGGGGCCAGCCCGACAGGGCTGTGCCCGTGCTGTTCACGACACAGCCGAGGGTGGAACCGGACGGAGAGTTCTGGGGAAACCTCAACTCTGGTCCTTCTTCACGTATTTACAAAATTGCCCATAAGCTCAGCCGTGCAGTATGAGGTGTCACGGGTGGGAAACAAAGTTCCTTTTGAGGTTGGCTCCCCGCCTACTCCGTCCCTCTTCCTGAGCCTTGGCTACTTGTCATTGGGACCTGAGCCTAGTGACCACTAAGGAGCCATTTATCAGATGGCTGTGTACATTGAGGCCAGGTCTGAAAATGAGAGTTTTCTTGCGAAGCCACGAATCGCAACTGTTTTCAATTCCAAAAATTATGTATCCTGTTTGTACTATTGCAGGTTGCCACTTTCCTTATATCGAAGATGCTGAGATTTATAACAAGTCCTACAGAATCGGAGATAAGCTAATCATCACTTGTCATGAAGGATTCAAGATCCGATACCCCGACGTCTATAACTTGGTTTCACTGTGTGGCTATGATGGAAGTTGGGACAATCTGCCCACCTGTCAAGGTATGAGATGGGAGCTGCAGTGGTCGGCTGTTCTTCCTGCGCAGCGTGTTGTAGGGTGGGTGCACCTTTCTCTAATAGACTGAGAGTAACGCGCGGGGGGAAACACAGCCACCCCCGCTGCCCGCCGTGGTCCAGCTCTGTCTTCACCTGGACCCCCGCACTCTGTTCTTGTCATTGTCACATCACTTCCTGGGTTTTCTCCAGCTCCACCCAGCTTTACAGCATAAATGGGAACGACCTTATTCTTTAGCACGCTAGATGTCTCCGTTACTGGGAAACCACCAGTAAGGTAAGGATGGGGAGGCTCGTAACCGGGCTGTGAACACGGAGATGAACTGCTGTATACTTAATGGGAATAACAGAACATTTATACTCATTTCAGGAGTAGTGAGAATATATTTCAAGCCGATCTTACAGTGGCTATTTTCTCTTAATAAAATGGTAATCCGTTTTATAACACATGAGGAACAGAAAAATAATCAAATTTAAATTTCATCCAGACCGCACGGTGAATAATTATTCCCTTATTTTCCCTTTTTTTTTTTTTTTTTTTTTTTTTTTTTTTTTAATTTAGCCTGGGCTGACATACGGGGCCCTGTTTGTGTTCACATTAACTCTGATTTTAACTCTTGAGGACCAAAAGGCCGAGAAGCCATTGCGTAATTCAAAGTTCAAGGGGGAGGGAGAGCGATCTTATGTGCATGGAACGCACTGGAACGGCCGAGGGCCGAGACGAATGTTAACTTTGTGCTTGGAAATCATAGGCGGCAAGACTGTGCTATTACCCTGCACGCCCCATAGTTAGAAATAAATCATTTCCGTATGTGAGAGCTTAAGAGTCATGGCCCCTGGGAAAAACACAAGACCGATGAGGACAGAGACGGCCCAGCCCCGCTCACACCTGCATTTCTCTCCTGAAACTTCCTGTGGTGGTTCGCATGTTGTATGTTACATTTTTCAAGGAGATACGTGATTCATTTTCACTTACAGACACAATCCTCAAAACCAGAAGCTTGCTCTTAGGTTGGGCAATTGATTCAAATGAACTTTATTAACCACTCATTCCTTCTGGTCCCCCGCGGGCCTCTCCAACTAACTAGTGACGGAAAAAGTGACCTTAGAATCCAGCCACTTCTTGCTTTGCTATTTTCTACTTATCCTTGGGCTCTCCTGTGCTTTGTATTTCCTATTATGCCATTTAAATAGAGTACGCTTCTTTAGGCATATAATTTGGCCCAATGATTTTTTAAAAAATTTACCCTATGGCGGTATATACATCTTGGGGTGTCATTTTCAGGAGTTGAGACACAGGCTTTCCCCTGCTTGGCCTGGCCAGTCTAGTCCCTCCTCTCCCCCGCCCCTTACTTGCATCTTAGCCAAAACATAGCTTTTCGAGTTCTTGAACAACAAAAGAGCTGGCCGGCTGCTCTTGAGAGGTACGCTTTTTCAAACGACAATATGGCCCACAGCCCACCTTCCTTCCTTCTGACAGTTCCCCTCTGTTCCCACAGAGGAGGTGCCCCTGGTCTATGCCCTGGTCTCCCCGACACCCCCTGTGCCCCACGGAGACCCTGGCTTCCTTGGGCTGCCCACCCACTTGGGCACAACCTGAGCAAGAAGGAGTCAGGCTGCCCGAGACAGCCTGACACCTCCTCAACCCCCAGGGGGAATATAATTGGCCCTTAGACTGACATTTCATTCGGTAACTTTTATTGGCACCTGTAGACCAGGAGCTAAAGCTGAGGAGCCTGCTCTCCGTTCTGTAGAATTGCAAATAGAAATCACATTGAACTATTGAGTGGAAGCCAGTTTTCTCCTGTTATATTTAGAACAGGCTGCCTGCAACCAGGAGTAAGCATATCTTTCCTTCTCCGATTTAGCTGCCCAAGTTATAGACCTTTCCATCTCCTGTGGGGGCGAGGGCAGGGGGGCCTTTTTTCCCCCCCTGTGGGAACTGTGTGTTTTGGAGAGAACGTCCTGCTGCTGTGGGTCAGAGTTAGTTTTTACTTCGGGAAAACCAGTTTATCCAGGTGGGAAGCTCAGAACTGCAGTATGCATTGGCCTAGGCCATTTTTTATGGGGGCCTTGAAAATCTACAGTTTGGGTATCCTCGGAGTTTGGTATCCGTGGGCGGTCCTGGAACCAATCCCCTGCATACACTGAGGGAAGACTGATGTTTTTCAGGAGTCAGAAGTTATATGCCAATTTTCAGCTGTGCACAGTTCACCGCCCCAACCCCAATGCCGTTCAAGGTCAAGTGTACACTCTTCAGAAGGAGGCCCGGGCATAGTCACTTCTGCCAACTTATTTGAACTACGCCCAGAGGTTCTAGTACATTCACTTGTCCAAATATTAATTTGCTTATCTTTTTCTCCATCATTGATTCTGTTTTTTCCTAATTCCCAAACTTCACTCACACAGTTCACTTTTGCCATAAACATTGTCAGCTCAGAAAAAAATAATCACATATTTTTTCGTGAGCATCCTCGTTCCGAGCGTCGGCTGCTTCTGGGCAGTGGCTGGCCGGGCCATCTGAGCTCGGTCACACAGCACGGTAGGGCCAGCGCTCCTGCCCAGCGCAAGCGCCTCCCTCCATTCTGCCCCGGCCCACACATGCCGCACACGCCACACACGCCACACACGCCACACATGGGGGTGCTCACTGACTGAAGCAATTTGCTGAGCACACAGCTCTTCGATGCTTCGTGTGACATCTAGCAAAGTCAGCGTAGGAGAAGGGTTCAGTCATCTGGTGTAATGTGCCCCAGCTGATTGGAAGGGAAACTAGGTATTTCCATGATATATTATTTATTTCACACACAATTAGCTGTCCCCGGGAAGAGCCCCAGCTCGGTGGAGTCATTACACCCTCCAGTGAAAGTGCCGAAACCAATAAGACGTTCCATGATCACAGTGGAAGCCGTACTAGATGGGGTCCTGTGCCAGTGGGGATGTCCCCCTGGGCCACACGGGCTTCAAGACCAAGAAGGCAGTGTCTGGTTTGCAGGAACGCGCCGTCCCGGCTTACTTCCGCTCGGGGAGCCCTCGGATTCCCATGGTGCTAGCTTGGTGTCACAGCAGCGGGGGTCCTCGGAGCCCAGTCCCCAGGCCTCCAGCAGCTATGGCTCCAACATGTCCGGAGACCTTAGCAATGCAAATCCTGGGGCCCACGCAGACCCACGGGACCAGCAGCTCTGCGTCCTAACAGACCCTCCTTCTGGGTCATTCTCAAGTTCGAGAGCCACTGTACCCTGGGGTTCCTTATCTCTTTCCCATGAAATGCAGCTGGATTTTCCAAAGTTTAGTGTCATCATGTCACGCAGGCCATCTGTCCCATGTTTTGCAACAGATGAACAGAGTTTGCGTAGTAACCTTCTCAAGACCTCACCGCTGTTCAAACAGTAGGTGTCTTTTTCCTCTGTGGCACCTTCGTGATTGTCAGCCCTGGTGGCTTTACTTGGGGGTAAAAGATAGGGGTGCCTGTGCTTTCCACTGGCCCTGGGGACGAGGCCACGCATTGTTGTTTTGTAAAAGTTCTACCATCTCTACCCTTCCCCAGGGCTCCCTCTGTCCGACCCTCTCGTGCCGTTTGCAACTCTCACATCCGATTTCCGCATTACAGATAGAATAGGAAGTCGGTAAGGAGCCTGCACGGTTAGGTGCAGTGTGGGTATTCCTACCTCAGAGCGCCCGGCCAGAGGAGGGGAGCCCAAGCGAAGTCCAGTGCTGTGTTTATCTTCCCGGTGCCCAGACGACCAGGTGAGACTCTCTGCTTTTCCTTTCACTCATCACAGGCTGCCTGAGACCGCCCGCCTTTTCCAACGGCTACGTGAACATCTCTGAGGCCCAGACCTCCTTCCCCGTGGGGACCGTCATCGCCTATCGCTGCTTCCCGGGGTTTAAACTCAAGGGGTCAGAGTATCTGGAGTGCTTGCACAACCTCATCTGGTCGTCTAGCCCACCCCAGTGCCTTGCTCTGGAAGGTAACACATAGAACTCTTTCGGCAGTTGAGTTTTGGATGGTTCAAGTGGCTGTGTCCATAGGAGGCGAGAATGAGTCGGCAGGCACTTGCGTTCACTGAAGACACATTGCTCGCCTCCATCCCGGGCAGGGGCTGCGGGCCTGGTCGTCTGCCACGAACCCCTACTTGCAACCAGCTCTAAAACCCGCTTCCCTCATCTGTAAGCTTAAGGGATAAAAAAGTTTCAAGCATTAGAGGTTCAACTGCAAAATATTGCAAAGTTAAATGAAATGTTTTCAAAAATTAATTTTCTCTGCACCGAATAAAAACAGATTGTATTACAGCATTGTTAACCTCACCCCCACCCCGCCATTTTTTTATTGTTCAATGTGTCTTCCTATTTCTGGGCATTTTTATGGCTTCACAGTGAGTACTTTTGCTACAGCACACACATGCAGAAGCCTGAAGCAAGGTGTTCTGTCCTCCCTGGGTTTGTGAAATGTATGTGATTATCTCAGAGTGGGGTTCAGTAGTGATCGCTCATCAGTAGCAAGGGGAGCAGGCGGGCTCCTCTTTGTGGGCGTAGCACCCCTGACGATTTCCGCCAGGCAAGCTGGACGTGCTGGCGCAGCCCTCGTTTTAACTCAGGCCTTGAAATTACGATGGAAGAGAACAAACACCCATTTGTTTCTTGGCGTCTCTTGAGTACAGTGGGTGGGAGGGGGTCTGTGTGGGGAAAGGCAAAAATGAAAGGAAACCTCCGGTCAGGAGGCCCTCCCAAGCCTTTAGCAGCCTTTCTTGGGAAACAAAATGAGACACAATAAGATGTGGAAACAGACGGATTCTTACAAGAGGCATTTCTACTGTGTGCACCTCAGTGCGGGAAGAGGTCAGATTAGGAGGTATGTTGCGGAGCGGACGGCCAGAGGAATCAGAGACGGTGTCTCCTACCTGAGACTTGGATGGGTTGGCTGGAGCCATGGCGCCCTCTTGGAGACAAGGGTGGGGGGCCTGGTGCCCCCAGGAGTCAGAATGCCCCCACTCGCCCCTACTTCTCACCCATCCCAAATCCCCTAGGGGGTCAGAATCTACAGTCGAAATGTCAGATAAAATATAGGATGTCAGTTAAATCTGAATTTCAGATAAACAACGAATAATTTTTTTTATATGAACACATCCTAAATATTGCATGGGACTGACTTCTTGTCAGCCATTATTTTTTTGGTCTATCTGAGATGCAAATATAGCCAAGTGTCCTATGTTTTTATTTGTGAAATCTGGCACCTCTAGCCTAGAGGGATAAGGGCAGCCCCTCTGTTTCTACTGAAACGGCTTTCCTGTTGTGTGGACGCCACCGGCCGACCCAGGTGAGCAGGGGCCACTGAGGAGAGGGGCCTCCGGCACCTGGAGAGTCCCCCAGCTCAGATGACCAGGAATCCAGGGTCACTTAAAGGCATCTTTGTTATCATGATAGCAATTGGAATTGCCTACTTTAAAATCTTTTCAGATTTGGTTTAAATGCCTTTCAAGCAGTCACATTCTGGTAAGCATCCTTTTGGAACTTTGAAAGCAGTTCTTACGGCGCTTACAGAAGGTGATGTGAATAGATATAACACACAGTCAAACTTCAGGGGACACCGAGGGAAGGTTCTGAACTGGGGGCTGTAATGGGCCTCCGGTTGGAAGCCTGTCTCCAGGGTCCCTTTTCTCCCGCCAGCCGGGCTGTGGCCGAGGGAGTATGTGAAAACGGAGGTGGCAGCCGCTTGTGCCAAGACAGTCACTTCATGCTTTTTTGTCCCAGTTTTTTTAAAAAATAATCTTTATGTCTTTATTTCCAATCGATGTCCATTTAAATTATCCAATGGAATTCATTTGTGAGAACTTCGAATGCTCCACTGGCTAAAGACACCAAAGCCTGATTCTAAACTGAGAGTCACAGAGTGGACTGAAGGGCTTTTAGTCTCATGGATTGATAGGAACTGCGTGAAATTAAGCAATGGGTTAAAATAAGAGATAAGAGGTCATGAAAAACTTACCCAGAGGCCCCTTGGTGTGGGTGTTTCTTTAACTCTTCCTTGAATGGCTTGTCATCTTTTTAAAAAGCGGGGCCACGTGTAGGCAATATTTTCATAGGGTATTCAGCATGGATGAGCTGTCCCGAGAGAATCTCACACTTTAATATATCGGCCGCACTGGTTTCCCCGTTTTCCTGTCTTTCTTGGCACACGGTTTGGTTTTTGTTGAGGGCCCTAGTGAGAGCTGCTGCGCTGCGCTGTGGAATCATGACGCCCCCCAGGGCCTTTTAGATCCACGGGGCGCTCTGACTCCTTCAGAGACGGGATGTGGACGGCTGTGCTGTGGAAGTCTCTCTCCTTCAGCTTTTTATCCCTATCTCTTCCCTGTCTCACACTGTTCAGACATCCATTCATCCGCTGTCAGGTGGGCTCAGCAGGGCGATGGTGGAGCTGCTATGGCGTATTGATTGAGAGCGTAGATGGACATCGGACTGGCTGAGTTCATGTCCTGGGTCTCCTGCTTAATCATCTTGACGTGGGGCAAGTCACTGAGCTGCTGTCAGCCTCCATTGCCTCCGTTATAAAGTGGGGGAGGCGCTCGTCCTTGCCTCATGGGACTGTGAGGATCGGAGTGAAGACACATGGAACACAGAGAAGCATTTGGCATGAAGTAGGCGGTCAATCGCGTGTCCGTTATTCTTGTTCTAAAATTGTGCACAAAGTCACAATAAATAAGTGCGTACCAGGCATGACTGTGTGAATCCCGTACCCAGGCTTTTGTGCATATATGTTGGGACATTGTTTTGGTGGTTCAGATGCTGTTTTGGTTACTCGCATACTTGTAGCTCTGCTTGTTTGAGGTGAAGGCCAGATAAGGAGAGGAAATACTGAAAAATCATAATTGCTATTAATTTTGAGAGCTTAGTATGTGCTGAAATGCTTGACACAGAATCTCTTGCCCTTGTGCAGCAGGTGCTCTTTTTAACCCTGTTTTACTGGTGAGCCACCCCTGACTTCCAGAAATTCAGTGTTTACGCAACGTCACACAGCGAGTAGGTGGGGGAGCTGAGACTCGAACATGAGTCTTTGTCTCTTCAAAGTTCGTGCACTTAATTACCAGGGTCCATAATCTAACTAACTGGTTCTGATTGCTTTACAATTCAACAGGGAAACAGTTTGATATATTTATAGCTATTTTGTAAAGAGTCAAAAATATTAAAAGAATTCTCACACAGGGTGGGGGGGGGGATTTGTCCTTCTGGTCTACCTGTTCTCCCTGTAGAAATCCCAGCTCCGGGGGAGGCCCCGCCGCCCAGTGGAGGGCAGTGAGCTCCCACTGCCACCACCCTCGTGCCCATTAGTCTGCATGTTACAGTGGAGGCAACCTCAGCCAGCAGATCAGTCCCACACCAGGAGACTGACTCCTCGAAGGATGACCCGACTTGTCCAGACGCCTCAACCCTTGGTCCATGGCTCCTTCTGCCACGTGGTGCTCCCTCTCCTTAGTGAATTGGAGAGCATTTTTTGAGGACAGGCTTTGCTGCCACCATCGAGTGACAGCTGTCACACGCACATGTCAACAGGCTCATATGGATGCCTGGCTTCCTAAAGGAGTTTCTAATTTGGAAGGAAAAGCTCCGGCAGCTTCGGCAAAGGATCGTGTATTTTGGGGGCCGTGCTGTTGTGCGCGTGTTACTGAGGATGGATAGTCCTAGAGCATGTGTGTTTCCCGTGGCTGTACTGAGAGGCAGAGCACCCGAAAGCACAAAGTCTTGGCTATGTCATTTAAAAATAGACGAACGTACACCTTGGACCTGGCAGAAGCTCCACGGATCCCCATGTGCTGTCTGTCTCTCCATGTGTCTGTGTGCTTCGCCTCATCTCTGTGTCTTAATGTTTTTCCCTCTTCATTTTTGAGCCTCTCTGTCTCTCTCGCATACACAAACGCTCAGTCTCGGGGCTGGCCTTCTTCCCAGCAACAAACCAACCTGACCTGCTCAGAAGCTGAGTGTCTGCGGCTCTGTTTCTAAACCCCACCCGTCCCCAAACTCAGAATGCCCGGGGAGATTTCTCCCCTTCCTGTTCATTTCAGACCTCAGGGAGCAGGAGATGGAAGTTTAATCAGTTTCAGATTCAATTCCAGGAAATGCAGCCGTGTGATTTCCTAAGAACCTACCAGTGCCCAGCAGTCCTTTCAGGTCTGTGCCTTTATATAAGAAAAGGAGAAAAATAGGAAACTGCAGAGCCCTGTTTGGCCAAATGTGAAATGACTTGAAAGGTTCTAATTTGGGATCACCACTCAAAGCCAGTTTGGACGTGGAGGCTTCCCAGCTCCCAAGCCGTCTGGGCAGTGGACTGTGTTCCCAAGTCGGGTGCGAGAGGCGACCAGGCGATCCCCCCGCCCTTGCCCCCAACCCGGGAGCCCTGCCTTCACGCAGAGGCACCTGGGGACTGCAAAGTGAATCCTTTGCGGGGAACAGGAAAGGCAGCAGAGAAATCTGGGCTTCCTCAGACTTAAGACCTTAGGAGCAGTGACAGCACCCGTGGACATGTCCCTGCCTTCTGAGTAATCTCCCCAGCTGCCCATGGGCGACGTCTTAATGGTCCCTGTCCTGGATCTTTATCATGTCAGAGGTTTGGGAGGAGGGAGAAGGAGACACTCGAAGATGTGGCCCAGGCTGCACAGTGTCTGCTGGCAGACACTGCGGGAATTCTTCCTTCCTTCCTTCCTTCCTTCCTTCCTCCCTTCTTCCCAGGTAGGGCCCTGGTGCCAGCCAGAGAGTTCTCAGTGCTTGGGGCCATTGCCCTTAGGAATTCAAGTCCTGCTCTCCTTCCCTGAAGTGACAATAGCTGTGGCCAACTGGTCCGCCACACCCGCCCAGGCCTCCCACCCTTCGGAATAGACCGACCAGCCAGGGCCACGGTCTCATTAGCCTCCCTGGGCTGCCAGGCTCCCTGGAGACTCGCCTTTGAGCCTGTCAGCAGCTGGATTCAACAGGAAATTAA